ATTATTTCGGCTTGGATAAGTATCTTTTTCTTGGAATATTTTTTAGCACTGTGCTTTCCCTTTTTTTTGTCTTATTAATAAAAAACCCAAACCAACCTTTGCCAAAATAATTAATGAGTTAGTAAGGGTTGAAACCTTAGACGAAAAGCAGCAAGCCAAAGCTCTACGTATCCTACAAAAATCTAATGATTTGTTCGCATCTGGGTTAGATGAATTGGGCCAGTATCAAGAAATCCAACACAAAATTGATACTAGTGATGCAAGACCTATCAAACAATCAGCGTATCAGATTTCGCCAGATGAACAAGATTTCCTAAATAAAGAGATAGAAAAATTATTAGAAAACAAGTTAATTTGTGAAATTAAAAGTCCCTGGGCTTTGCCGGTTGTTATCGTCCCTAAAAAAAATGAAAAGCTCAGGTTATGTGTTGACTATAGAAAGTTAAACACGGTTACAAAGAAGGATGCGTTTCTCTTACCCCGTATCGATAATCTATTAGAGACATTTGGGAAGGCCGAATGGTTCTCTTCTCTTGATTTAGCCAGTGGATACTGGCAAATAGAGATAAAAAAAGAAGACCATGAGAAAACCGCATTTATAACCAAACAGGACATTTATGCTTTCAACGTAATACCCTTTGGGTTATACAACACCCTAGCAACCTTTCAAAGGGTTATGAACTACCTCCTACATGAGTACATCAGGCAATATGTAGCTGTCTATTTGGATGATATAATAATTTACTCTAAAACATACCAGGACCATTTAACCTACCTAGTGAACGTTCTCATCAAAATACGGATGGCCAGGCTAAAATTAAATCCTGAAAAATACAACCTATTTCAAAATAACATTCAATTTTTAGGCCACATCGTAGGCAAAGAAAGAATTAGACTAGACGAAAACAAAATAATTAAAATTAAGGAGTTTTCTACTCCCACCAACCTGAGACAACTAAGAGGTTTCATCGGCCTGGCCTCTTATTATCGTCACTTTATAAGAAACTTCGCCGCTATAGCCAAACTATTACATAGATTGTTGGAGAAAGGAGTTAAAGGTAGGGTATTTGTTTACATGTTTTTTTCATACAATGTGCAAATAAATCTGCATATACAACCAAATATACAATTATAATTGGTTAATTTTGCAGATCATTAAATTTTGATTGGTTTATTTTCATGCCATGCACAAACAAATGGTAAACAAATACTCTACCCTTAAATATGAGTAGGAAGAGAAGCAAGAGCAGTCTTTTAATAAATTAAAAACCCACCTTGTAACCACCCTGATCTTAAGGTATCCCGATTTTGACAGAACTTTCTATCTACACACTAACGTATCGGGTATAGATCTTGACGTGTATTATCTTAAAAAGATAGCAACAAGAGGGAATACATTATTGCCTACGCGAGCAAAAGCCTAATCTGTCCCAAAAGAAATTATTCAACCACTGAGTTAGAATATTATGCAGTGGTCTAGGCAGTTGAATATTTTTATCATTATCTGGGCTACAAGCCTTTTGTTATTGTTACTGACCATTTGGCTCTAAAATGGCTCCAAACTAGTGCATTAAAGGGCAAAAGAGCTCGCTGGATCCTACGTCTTCAGCCATATAATTTTACTATTGTTTATCAGGCTGGTCAAACACATAATAATACAGATGCATTATTCAGAATGGTCAAAGACGAATGTAATACATTTAATCCTCACCAAAAAGCAGCTGATATGAGAAATATTGATGAAGCATATAAAAAAGATACGATTTTGAAACCCCCACAAAATCCAGAAGACCAGGCCGAAGGTTCGACAAAAGAGGTTGAAGTATTCCATGATGGAGAAGACGAAAATCTAATAACCAACGTTGAAGATGCATGGGATGACATGTGGACCAATCGATAGGATGAAGAGGAGTTTGAGCAGTATCTGGAAAATAAAAGGCAACATAGAGAGTTAGTTCAGCAATTGAACAATGAATTCTATGGAGAAATAGCCTTGACGGTACAAATGGGATATCAATCATCATCAGAATCTGATCACGAAATTGAAATAGATATTAATGATGAATATATAATCAACTCACCCAAATAGTCCGACGATGAGTTGGAGTTCGAGGACAGCGATTATGAAACTTATGACTCAGGATATGCTTATAATTTCTATATGGGTCATGGTGAATATTGGTAAAATACCAACATCAAAGAAGAAATGTCCAGGATCAACCCTGAGTGGCTTCTACCTTTGGCTGATGATGTAACTATGGATTGGGACTATTACCTTAAAATAGAATAAGTAAATTAGCAAAATCAAAACAAATACAAAATGATGAAATAAATTAATTGACGAAAACAAAAAACAAAAAAAAAAAACTTAGCTTATCACAGACCTGATGATAGAGTGAGGTTGGTCAGGATAGAATAGGGCGAGTTGTGGGGCCCTATTCAAAAAGACAATAATAGTTAAGATTTCGAGGTTCCATGGGGCCGCAAAATCATGTGACCCAAAAATAAGCAGTATACCTGAAAAATAGAAAGTGGCAGACATTAGTAATAAGACAAAAAAAAGGGAAAGCACAGTGCTAAAAAATATTCCAAGAAAAAGATACTTATCCAAGCCGAAATAAT